TAGAACCTCCATCAATGGAGGCTGAGAGCGAGGGGAGGTGAGCGTGTGGCGGGCTCCTCATTTAGACGGTCACTCTGCCTGACTACCTTTCAGTCCTCGCCATTGATGGGGTCTGAGAGGCGCGGGCCAGGACACTTGGGAGACCGGCCCTGGTGGGAGCACAGTTTGGCAGTTCCCGGAGAATCCACTCTTCTCAACTTCTCTCTGCAGCTCTTCCCTCCTCTCAGGAGGCTCTTCTAAATACCAAGTGGCAGCCCTGCAGCTGTTCCTGAGGCTGATTCTCTCACCCCTGCTGTCGCGGTCAGACCTCATTATTTCTCATCGTCGTTCTCAAACAACTGGTTTTAGCTCTTGAGGCATTTATGATGGCGAAGGGAGGACTATGACTGGGGAGCCCTGTTTCTCCCGCCCACCACCTCTCTTCACCCACACTCCCTTCCTAGCAACAGCTCCTTGCTCAACTCTTGGGGCCCACGTCTTCCGTCTCACCTACACCAGCAGCAGCAAAATATGGGGGTGAGAAGGCTGGGGGCGGTGGCGAGGTGCAGGGGGAGGGATGGGGGAAGAGCTTCAGGGAGGAGGCTGACGAAGCACAAAAGGTTCTGACCTCCTTGGAAGAAGAGGAAACCACAGGGGCCGTGTCCAAGCTGGTTCAGCTTGGGAGGCTGCCAAGGAACTGAAGCAGAGAAAGTCCAGGTTAGGAGGGCAGGCGGCACAGTGGTAGGGAGGTGGGCTGGGCTGAGGGGCAAACAGGATAGTGCCCTCAGGGGGCGCTTTGTCCACTGCGGGGCGGGGGCGGGGCGGGGGGGGGGGGAGAGAAACCGGGCAGCGTAGATTATGGGGAGTGGCACTCTTCTCCACTCTGGACAGACTGGAACCCTGACCAAAGGAAACTTGGGGCGCATAACTCAGGGAATAGCAGTCCCTGGATCTTAGAGCTTCGAGGTGGAAGGGGGTTGTTTCTCAACCTTGGCTGCATATTAGAATCACCTGGGGAACTCGAAAGCTACTGATGCTGTTGTTGGGGGCTGGAGGGGGGGCGGTCCACATTCCTGGCCAGTTATTTACTGTGGCGGGACCTATACATCAGTATTTTTACAACATTGACAGGGTAACTCTACTGGGCAGCCAGAGTTGAGAAGCACCGAAGTCCAATCCTACTTAGAGCAGGCATGTCCCTTCCATAACATCTTTGGCAGGACCAAGATTTAATCTCAGTGCTACCTCACTCTGAAGCCAAGGAGGATGTCCAGCTTTTCCTCTGAAGCTTCCAGTGACGACGATTTGCACACTTCGGGCTCTTGACTAAGTCTGAGCTCTGTGCTTCAGAAGACCAAGATCAACCCCCCTCCCCCCCCCCACACACATACACAGTCTTTTCCCTGCAATAAAGGGAATTTTTATATCATCCCCTCCCCAGCATTTACTGTTTTTTCTTTTTTAAATCTTGCCATTCTGCCTTTAAGAGGTACAAGACGTTGGGACAAACAGCCTGTTTGTTTTTGCTCTTTCCATCGGCAGATACGCTTCAGACCTTTTGACTGATGTCACTTTAAAGCTAGTGAGAAGGACGGAGCTGGAAACAGTCGTGGAAGAGCGTGGGGCTGGCTCTGAGGAAGGGGGTACGCCTCGCTCGGTGGCGGGGGGCAGGTTAACGGGCCCAGCTCATGGGCACGAACCGCAGGCCGTTTCTGAGCACCAGCTGGTGGAGCCGTCGGCCTCTCTCTTGCTCCCTCTCTGAATCCCGGCCCAGCTGCCAGTCCGTTCTTTGTTTCCCCTCAGCTGTCTGCCCTCCTCACCCAGATCTGCCGGCCCTGCGCCATCAGCCCACAGGCCATAATCTGAGATGGCAGAGTCCTAGAACGTGCCCGCTCGAGGTCCCGAGTGAGGAGGGGAACTCCTCCAAGGTCACGTGGTGGTGAAGCCAAGCCTCCCTTTCAGTTCTTGTCCATTTGGGTTGGGCTTACCCAATGGCGCGCATTTCTGATTGGTCTCTGACTGGGCTGCAGCCTCAGAGGGGCCACAGATTCCCTTTCTTCCCAGACCTGGGGTGTACGAGAGGCCTGACAAAGGGACACAGCAGGATGGCTGCGGAGGACGCCACAGGCCTGCAGCGTGGGTGAGCCGTCCTGGCTGCCGTTCATGACTTCAGCCAGTTTCAAGCTGGCGGGGTCCTTTCCAGAGAGAGTCCTGAGGAGGGGAGTGTCCCTTTATTGCCAAGACTCCTCTGTTCTTCCTCTGACAAGTGACTGGCCCTACTCCCAGCTGCCACCCTTGCCCGTTCTCATTCCGGTGACTGGCGAGAAACCACCCGAGGGGAGACAAGGGGCATTTTGAGTCACAGGTTCCCAGCAGCTGCTGTCTTTTCCTCATCACGTCCTTCTCAGTTCTGAAATGGAAGGTCTAGAACAACGGGGAACACGGGCAGCACACTCAGCTCCCAAGAGTGGGCACCTTGCGCTCCGGAGAGCGCGCGCAGGGCCCCCTTGCCCTCCGTGGAAAGCTGCCGTCCTCCTGCAGCGCTCACCCCCAGCCCTGGGCTCTGCCGTGCGGGGGAGGCCCGCGTTCTCGGGCCTGCAAAGTCGTTGGGGTGCGCGCTCTGTTCTCCGGGATCGGGCCCTTGTCGGTTGTGACGATTTCTGTCCCTTTAACGGCCTTGCGGCTGTTACATGCACATGAGTGTCGTTCGTTAAGTGCAGCCGCTGCCCGGCAATTGCTTCAGGTTGTCGTGCTTGCTAAGTCCAACGTCAGACTGGCTATGTCCTTTCCTTTATGGAGCACTAGCTTTGAATTGTAAGAGAGCCACAGGTCTGGTTCTTCTCAGGTTCCCGTTATACGGTCACTAAATCTGACATTTTCTTTTTCTTCCCCCTACCCCGCTTTCCTCAGACAGGGCCAACTAATACATCGTGGCTGAGAGATCAAACTAATTTACCTTCAGGGAGTGAAATCCAACATCTACTTTCTTGTTGTTGAACAACATAGTGAAATATTTTTAAGGGGATGCTATGTAAAATATATCATTTTAATCCTAAAATCATTTTTAGGTATAAATACGTTATGTAATGGCAAGTAAGAGCTTGGCTTTAAAAATAAATCTTTCAACATGCAAATTGAGTTGTCAAATTCTCTTGCCTTTTAGTTAAAATAGTCACTGCTGCCATTTCTGGAAATCTGTGGCTCTGAATTTCTCATAGATCCTACTCTTTAACGTTTGGACAAAATAGTCATTTTTGCCGCTATATCCTCACTCCTCAGCTCTAGAGTCAAAATGCAGTGCTGGAGAAAAATTTGTTGATACTTATTAAGTATTCAGTAATGTTACTGTTCTATCCCAGAAGTTTATTAGTATTTAAAGCCCTGCACTTGAAAATATCTTTACACCCAGTGATCATTAAAGCATAATGAACTAAGTACCAGGGGACCTCTTATTGATGCTGGTGTTGAAGAATAATATTCCCCCTAAGGCCTGCCCTTTGCTGACGCTAGCCATCGTGCGAACCTAAGACATATCCTTGTAAGTAGAATTGGTCCCCTACAAAACTCAATTAGGCTCTCGATACTAAATCATTCAAGGACCAGATGTGTGGCGTATCCAAATTGTAATGACTGTTTGATGACAAGATGATGGAGGAAGTGGGTAAGTACAACCAGATAAGACCACCTAATTTTGTTTTGTCTACTTATACCCTAAGTATTCACAATGCCATTTATCTCTCCGTATCTCTCTCTCTCTCTCTCTCGCACACACACACACAGATTGTCAAATGCAAAATGAAAATGGAGAAAGAGGTCATTTCAATACTTTTTATTTGAGTGTGAAACCATTCATATCTTGCACAACTGTACAGATAAAACTATTTCCATTTTAGCTGTAGACATGATTATCACACTGAGTGGTGTGATCAAAGATTTTATTTACAGAACAACTGCTAAAACATCCGATGTCATATTTCCATTTATTTCTTACCCATAGGGTAATAGGTCCACCATAATTGCCTGGTGCATTTTATAATACAGAAAGAAAACCTATGTTAATCTCTAACAAACCTCACAAACTGCTACAAATCTCACAGAAAAATGCCTACGAAAAAATTTTCCAAAAGTACAATACAGTTTTTATTTCCACACATACACAGTATAGTAGAGGCTCAAAGGCACAGCTTTGAATTTTTTTTTTCTATCAAAGTGTCGGAAATTATTATGGTCTTACGAAGGAACCATGAAAGTCATTTTCACACTTGGTGCTTGGTAAGTTAACGTTTGGTCCATCTGGTTTCACAAAGTTAATACAGCAGAGCTGAGTGTGATACTCAATACCATAAATCCACATTCTCACAGAATTTTGAAAACCCCTCTCCTGCCTTTTGCTGACACTAGCCATTGTGCAAACTTAGGACAAATACTTGTATGTAGAAGAACCGGTCCCCTACAAACCTCAATCAACTTAAGGCATACAGAACAGGTCTCTTCCTTCCCTCTACACAGTGCTTACGTTCCAAGACAATGCAGGTACTGTGAAAGACATGGGTGCAGTAACAGGGACTCTGGAGTTTTCCAGACACCAGCATTTCACCCTGGTGCTCCAGGAAGCAGTGATGGCACCACCAGGAACAAGGGATGCGTAGAACAAAACTGAGGGCTGTTCGTCGTACAGGAAGATGACAGACAGACGGCAAGGTGAATGCTCTTGGTAAATTATGTGCCCATCCAAGAACACAAACCAGACTCTGTCTCTAGTATCCATCAAGACTAATGAGCTTTTGTCAACAGGAAGATAAGTAGCTTACGGGGAGTGTTTGGCAACACAGAGCAAAGTCATGGAACAGAGGGAAAAGGCACAGATTGGCCTGCCCGGAATAGTGCTCGATAGAAACAGTCAAGTCTGGCTTGGCTACAGGAACCCCGTCTCACGGACTTTTAGTGAGTCCTGTTTCTGAACTAAAGTTGATTCATCCCACTCTGAATCCCAGACTCACGCTCATTAGGAAGATGGACACCTAGGAATAGTCCATGAGTTATGATGTATAGAGATACAGTCTTCTGGGGGTGGGTCGTTGGGTTTATTATTAATAATTATTATTAATATTAAATATGGATTCCTGCGATAGCAGTCATTTAGCCCATCCTGTGGAGGCCTCTCCGTTGATGTAAGCAAAGCCAGGAAAGTGTTGCATGTGCTCGTACTCAGAATTCCTGCGCGTGGTCAGGGGTGTGTACATGTCACTAGAGTTTCCGTACCTCGTGGAGTGCACAGACGGGCTTGTGTAGCACGTGTTGGCTGTGGGCACCTCTGGCCATCGGGGGGTGACGGGGGTGGGATGCAGTCGGGGAGTACTGCTCATCAAACAGGGTTCCATCCGGGAAGTAGGGCTATTGAAAGGGTACTTGTCGAGGGGAAAGAAATTCCACAAGGTTAAACTTAGCTTGCAAGTTGCATATACACAATATTGGTCACGCTCACAGTTTAAGTTAATTTCTTAAGATGCTATTAATGAAAGTCGAGAGGAAGGAAATCAGTGAACTTCCGAAAGATTGAACCTTGGTCTAGGAAGTAACCAACAGGAGAAATGCAAAGGATTTCATATCCAGAGTTGGACTGGTGTACATTCAAGTAGGAATACTGATTTTGTGCTCAAACTCTGGAATATCTGGGGAAGTCAAATCCAAAAGAAGGAACAGCCCCACTGGGAATACAGGAGAGTGAGTGTGTGTGTGTGTGTGTGTGTACAAGTAAGAGCATGTCCAAACAGATTAGGACGTATGGATGTATGGTGGTGAATTTTACCATTAGTTACGGAGATGGGATATGTCCCATTCCATCAACCCAAGAGAACAATACTACCAAGTAAAACACAGTGACATTACTAAAAATAGCATTTTACAGTTGAATTCAATTATGAACTGCAGCCTAAAAGCAGGCTTTTGAAGAGGAAGCAAGCCAACAGCTTCAAAGGTTATTATTAGTGCCTATCACTTAGAGAACATCTCTCTTTTTGGTTCACATTCACTGAAGTCCTGAAAGATGCACAAGGAGGAAACGGTGAATTGTCGGGGTTGGTGTGAATGTGGAGGAAGGAGTCGAGATAAGCCAATGGAGAGGGGACGGGAAGGGTGCTTTTGTGGAGGACAGAAGAGGGGAAAGCCGTTCTAGAAAGAATCGGGAATAAAAGAAGTGCCTCTGCAGTGCTGCTTCTCCAGCATTCTTTTCTGTTTCCAAGACAGCTATGCAAATAAGCCCCTGTTAGTGCAGTCAGAGGGGAGGAAGGTGAGAGCTCCTAGTTTGCAGGCCCGTCCACACACAGACTTCCTCACTGGGCTAGGTCAGGGCCACCCAGCACGGACATGGGAGCCAGTTAACAAGGATGGCAAGGGCGGCGAGGAGGGCAGAGAGAGCACGTATGAATTCTTCTGCTCCCCATCTGTCTTCGCTGACAGTTGGAGAGTGGAGCCCCGAGGGATTGGGTGGGAGGCTGCCTCCTGTGAGGGAGACAGACAGGCTGAAGCCTAGACAGCCGCGAGAAGGGATTCTGGCAGCAGTGGCTGCTCCCCGTGGTCGAGGGGCCAAAGGGAACCGTTCTGCTGCTTTGAGTGGAAGGCCGAGGGAAGCGGGGCAGGCTGCTGGGCCCAAAGCACGCAGAGAGAAACGGTTACTCAGAGGTCAAGAGAGAGGTCTCCAACTTCGGGTAGGATGGGTTTCTCTTACATGCCCAGCAGGCCTTACCTAGAAACTGCAGCCACTTCCCAGCCCAAGAACAGGTCGGAAAGAGCGAGAAGTGTGCAGGTGGTGTCTGGGAACTCAGGGGACAAGGCACCCAGGGCTGTTACCAAGGTGACTGTGGACCGCAAAGCAAGGGTTTCATATCCCCAGATCAGATCAGAAACGCTTGAGTACATCCATGTACCCAGTAAGGGAGTCTACAGGATGCTGTGTGTATGGCCGCCATGGGGGACCCTCAGGCCTGAGATCATAGTAGCATTGGCCCTGCCCAAGAAAACAAGATCCCAGGTGTCAAACAGTAATGTTAAGAAATATTATTACAAAGCAGTCTTTAATTTTTTCCAAAAGATTGCTTCCCCCTCCTGATATTCTCTCAAGTAAGCTCCCTGCGTGCATGTCAGCTAGCCTCATGGTGCTCTCCCTGGCCCAGAGGCCTCCTCTCCCATCCTGTGGCATGCCACGCTGGTTCCCCTCTCAGGGAATTTGGCCCTACCTGTTCCCTCTGCCTAGAACACTAGTTTCCCACCCCCACCCCCAAGCTCTTTGCACGCCTGCCTTTTTATCCGCTTTCAGATCTCAGCTCATATGTCCCCTCCTCAGAGACCTTTCTGGACATCCTATCTCAAGAAGCTAAATGCTCCACCCTCTGCCTCTCAGGTCAGGCGCTTACCATCCTGCTTGTTAGCTGTCTCTTTCCATTGGCTTCTATTCATAAACTCCTGGCAGGGCTTTGCCACGTTCACTACCACATTCCCAACATCTGGGGACATGCCTGGCACCTCCGCAACTATCCGGCGACTGAACACCGGGGTGTTGCCACTAGAAAGAAGCTTAGGGGTCATATAACCCAGCCCCATGGATCACGCACATGAGAACACGAGGACCCATGAGGTGAAGCATCCTGCCCACAGTCACGCTGCAGGCTACCAGGGCTGGCAGAGACACCCAGTGCTGGGGTGGCACTTTTCCCCACATCACTGGGGCACAAACCAGGCCTAAGCTGCCAGACTGCATCACATGAGAGAGGAAGACATGCCTGTTTTGGAACCCGCCCCATTACACTTTAACGTCTCCGTCCCTCTTGCTTTAAGGCTCCTCCTCCCCTACACACCACGGGGTCTTATAGCTCTGACCAGGCCTCCTCTTGCTGGTTCTGACGGAACCTCCCTTGGCTTGGCCCGTGTAGGTAAAATGTCGCAGTGCCTCTTTCCCACAGAACCCCAGAGAGTGTGGCTTTTGTGCCTAATCAAGGACCCTAGATGCAGCTGTGCCCAGGGGTTGTGTCACAGACTCAAAAGCGTAATTGCCTGGAAATGAGACTGGCTCAAAATATCTCTAATGGGACAATAAAATCCTGTTACCACAGAATTCAGCATGGAAAAATCTGTCCCGTTAGGTCAGCTAATTGCAAATGAGTCAGTGACTCGTTTTCCCCGTGGTGAAGAGACCATTGAAAGATGAGAGGCTGAAGTGCCTGCTGCCTCAGCCTGGTGATTAACGCCACCAATGAAGCTTCTATTTAGTCTGGTGGGAGCGGCTGAGGCCGGCCCGTGGCACCCGCCTCACCTTTCACACTTTACATCCGGCTTCATGCGGGGTCCTGAAGCATGCTGGGCACAAACCCTGGGGTCCAGAGAGCTCTGCCCAGAATAAAGGCGCTTTTTGTTGAGGGCCCACAACAGGAAGTTACCATTTGCTGGGTTAAATCACATGCTGTGGCTACTGATGTTGAACTGGAGATTAGCTACCAGTCCCCGCCCTTTGAGAGAGGTGTGTGAGGGGTGCTTGTGGGCACATATGCGTGCGTGTGCGCGTGCATAAGTAGTCAAAGTGTCTGTCAGATGCCCATCTCGGCTGTGATTGATTCGGGGCCTCTTTGGAATCATATTAGGAAGTTCTGTTTCTATTTTGAGAAACAACTCCCCACCCCAAGGCTGACTCTCCTGCACATGAAGAGGGAAGAATGAGCCCTTTATCCCTGACCCTCAGCAAATGGGCTGCTCCTTGAGCAAGGGGTGAAAGGTGGCCCAGTCAGGAGCACAAACTGTTTTCCTATGAAAGGCGGCTCTTACACCGCACCAAAGTTCTGCCAGTGGGCCTAGGGGGCCTCTTCTGGAAGAGGATGTAGCTCCCCCAAAATCTTTGCCGGACCAAGCCACATCCGCTGAGCTTTTAGGGTCTGGATTAATACACATGAAACACTCAGAACTCCCACATAGTAAGTTTTCAAAATGTGTTAGCTATTACTAATATTCTTCTTCGCATCAGAGGATCATGGTCTGTTAATGATAGGAAGAGCCTTAGTGACTGACCATCTGGTCCTACCTCCCATTTCACAGATGAGAGAATTGAGGTCGAGAGAGGGGAAACGATCTGCCTAAGGTCACAGAGCAACTTAGTACCAGAGTGAGGAGCCATTCGTCCATTTCACTGACAAGGATTTAACTGAGTACCCACTAAAAGCCACATCTATTCCGGGTCCTGAGGATATAATGGTCAAGAAGAAAAGATCTGGTCCCTGTCTCCATAGAGCTGGTATAGCGAGAGAAATATATGCTCTTTAATTATGCAAAATGTAGTAACTATGGTGTTACAAAAGATAAAAATATACATAGTGTTAACCATGTTAACCATGGCCAGGCCCTGTTCCAACCTGTATTACCTCACTTAACCCTCACAACCCTAAGAAATTTGTACTATAATTCTCCCCATTTTTCAGATAAGGAAATTGAGGCACAGAGCTGATTAGAGGCAGAGCTGGGATTTGAACCCAGGAAGCCTGGCTCTATAGTCACCGATCTTATACCACTATGGTTAATTGATTTTCCTCCCTTTTGGCTCAGGATGCTCTCCCAAAGTGGAACACCCTAAGCAGATTGGCCCCAGGCAGGGCCTGGCCACTAGCGATTCTGTGAGAGTTGTGTGATTGGCTGGCAAGGCTGGGCCTTGGCCATACAGATGATGAATAACGAATAGCTTTCTAGTCTACTCTAGATGAATGTCTAGCCCTACAGCTTCTAGTTGATCAAATGGCTTTTGAGCTCCAGGGCCTGGTGCACATTCACGGCTGCTAACAGGGTAGAAGTTCCACAAATGTGTGTTGAATGAGGCTCAGAAATATTTTGTAGCCACACAAATTTGGTCTGGTTTGTTTTCCCTATTTGGTCAGGCATGAGAATGGGGCACCTGGGAAGAGGCAGCGGAGACCATCCCTTGTTCACTCAGTTGGACGTGAACAAGTGTAGCATCATTGCAAGAAGGGTGTTTTTCTGAAATAATTCAAACCTTACAGTGTGAAACCTCCTTCATCTGGACTCCCTAATTCAGGATTATGAGAATTCAAGCAGGACTGGAGGTTTACCTTTGTTACTACCCAAGAGGAAAGCACGTGTCATACAAATAACTAATATAGATAAGGGCACACATTCTCTAGTTCAAAAACCAAATGAATCCGTATGATTTTGAGCGTTTACTTGCTGGGATGCAGGCGATCGCCGAACCTCACGGAGGCACCGTAGCAGTCTTGAAGACAGGCATTTCTTGTAGAAGTTCGTTTCAGTCACTCTTGTGCTAATGACCAATTACATTCCTTAACCGTGTTCTAGAATTGTGGTTTTTCTTCAATTCAGACTGATCTTTTCCCCCAGTGAGTCTGATCTAATGCAGTGTGATATTCAGTACTCAGGACTGGAACAGCTTGACCTCTGCTCTGGAAAGCTAAAACTAATCAGCCCTGCGGTGGATTTTCCCATCTATGCTCCATGTTAAACCAAAGTACCACGCGAGGAAAGAAAGAGGGAGTCTAGGGTATGTGATTCTTCTCTTTGGTCACCTGAAACTGACTGAGAATAGTTGCAGTAACTTCTTGAATTTGCATCTACCCTCCAAAAACACATTGGGTGTAGTGTTCATGGCCCTGGGCTTGGGGTTCAGAGCTGGAGAATTTGCATTTGAGTCTGCCTTGCTACTTACTGGATGCATAAGCTGGGGCAAATTACCTTATGAGGCTGTCTCCTCATCTTTAAAAACCGGAGAAAAATGCCTTCTTCCCCACGTTGCTATGAGAATTAAGTGAGTCTGTGTATTTGCAAATGCCGAAAACAGAGCTTGATGCATAAATGTTAATGAAAAACAAAACAAAGGATTCTTTGTGTTGCACTGACGCCCCCCACCCCCTACAACTGGGCTAGAGAGGTGATATAATTAACTTCTCACCCCACTTTACAAATGGAGGCTAAGGCATAACCCTTCAAGCACAGAGTGTGAGTGTGTGGTGGGGGTCAGAGGTTGTCAAAAGACCTTGTGAAAGGGCCACAGGGCATGGTGCTGAAGAGGCTGCCCCGTCCTGTCACCTCTCATGCCTCGACTGGGTTCAAAGGGCTCCTCCGTGGGCTTTCAATTAGTCCTTGGCCCTTCGATTAAGAGCTGCTATTAAATGATAGTGCTCCACTTGGGGACTTTTGTGGCTTCCAGAGCGGAGGCTGCAGACCTATCTTTGATCACTAGGGACCACATGGGCCTTCAGGAGACCCTGGTTTCTTTTTACGGCCATGGCTTTAAAAATATCACCCCAGAAATTTCATGAGGAGGGACGAGGGAGGAAAGAAAGAGGGAACACGTTTGCCGGGTGCTGTGGTTGGGGCTTTAGCTTGATCTGGCCGCTGCTGCTTGGGTGCCCGTCTCCTCCTGGAGCCTGAGCTCTCCGAGGGCAGGCGCAATTCCGTCCCCTTCACTGTATGATCGGGGCTGCAGCCTGCTTGCCACACACACAGCAAGCACGCCACAGTCCGCAGTCATCTGAGGCCTGAATGAATGAATGAGTAAGTGCATGCAGGAGCTGCTTAGGCTACGGTTCAGTGTGAGCCAGCTCCGGCCGCAGCTCTGAGGCATTCTGCGGATCGCCATGAGGGGCACAGAGTCTGCTCCAGAGGGAAGCAGTAGCCCAGGAGCTGGCTTCTCTGCGTGACGCAGCGGGAGACCTATAATGAATGCCCCAGGTGATGGTTTAGTGGAGTCAGCTTGTTGGCCTGTTTGGGGATTACACCAGGGCTCCCCTTGGTACTGCAGATGGAAATCAAAACAGAGGCCTGTTTGCCCCCGAGCACCCGGGTATTGTGGATACACTCTCCTCGGTACCTCTCCTCCGAGGCCTGTCTGTGGGCCGGCAGCTGATGCAATCCCGGCCTCCGCCCTCGATCGGTCCTGCCATCTCTATCCTAGACTCCCGCATGCGCTCTGCAGCAGAGCTCCCTGCCTGTACTGCGCCCCTTTCCAGTTTATCCTGAGTACCACCCCCCCCCCAGGCGGAGCTCCCATGCTGCCTCCCTGGCTCCCAGCCCCACCAGCAGGATGGAGTGAGGGTCGTCCGCACTCCTATTGCTTGTGTTGCCTCACTTCCTGTCTCACTGGTTCCAGAAACTCTTAGCGAATGCCGACTTAGGAGAGGTGGCAGAGGGCCATGCGTAGGAGCGTGGACACCCGGGGGTCACACTGCCTGGGTTCAAATCCTCAGGCAGGTTACTCTCCCTTCTTTTCTGCAAGGATTACCGTGAAGACGTGTGCAGTGCTCAGCACGGTGCCCTGGCCCGTGACCCAGGGATACTAGACTTGATTTTTGGCCTTCAGGGAGCTCTGGGGTCTCCTGTAGGAGTCCAAGAAGTCAGTGATGATAACGGCGTGTGAGGAGGGTCACTGACTGAGGCGTTATGTGAGTCTAGAGCAGCGGGACCTCATAAGGTCCCGGAGGAAGGAAGAGCTGGGGGCAGGAAGTACCGCATAGACAGTGAGGCGCAGGTCCTGAACAACATGCAGAAGGCTGGGGAAAGAAGGCCCCAGGCTGGGAGAGCAGTATCTGCGAACCGCACAGGGGTTGGCCTAGCTGGAGCAAATGGAGTGGGGTGGCTGGTCGGCCACAGAGGCAGGCAGAAGCCCCGTGGTAACAAGTGGTAAGAGACATGCCAAGGAACTGAACTTGACTCTGAATGCAATGACATGAAAAGAGGGAGAGTGTTAATGGCCCGTTGGGTTTTTTCCAAAAGACTCCTCCAGCTGCAGGGTAGAGGACAGACCAGTGAGGGGCAAGTTCCGTGACACAGAGACCTATGGGAGGATTCTGTCACCGTCTAGCTTAGCCCTGAGCTGAGGCAAGGACAGTGGGGGGTGTAGACACCAAGGATGCAGAATGAAACAGAACCAGTGCCTAGCTGCCTTTGAGACCAGAGCAACAGGAAGCGTGTGAGACAAGCAGAGGGCCCAACGCTTGCATTATAGGTACGACCACAAGTTCCATTCGCCATAGGCCACCGAGGGTTGATTTGGTTTTTAGACAAGTGAAGAGCCAAAGGAAGTGTGTGGCTTGAGAACGATCTGGTAGAGGGTCCATTTCAGGAGGATTCTTCTGGTGAGGTTGTGTGTGTGGATCGGACTGGAAAGGAACAGATGTGAGACCCAGAGACCAGTTCGAGTGATGCAGGTAACAGTCCTGACCGGACTCGATGAGGACCGGCACCGGGAAGATGGCCGACCAGAGATCCCGTGTGGGGGCGGCTGCCCGAGAAAGGGCAGGACACATGGCGGCTGACTGGGTCCAGGGATTAGAGAGTTTGCAACCAAAGACAACTGGCGTGCACCCACGTGCGTGAGAGGGAGTGGAGCGTGAACACTGGCCGAGCACCCACTTTGGTGGGCAGCCACCGAAGGGTGGAAGTGACCCTGAGGAAAGGATCCTCCTTTCCTTGGTGACAGACACACGTGGTACACAGAAGGTACCGATTAACTGTGTTAAATTGACTAGACCTGCCCCCAGGCATCCTGAGGCCTGGGCTGGCAAGCAGGACCACCAACTCACCTGTGCGGAGCTCCGGTGGTATGGGGAGTAGTGCAGCGGGCCCGAGATGGCTGTGTCGTGGGGGAGGGCCGGGTACTGGCTCTGCACCGGGGGAGGATGCTGGCCGCCGTAGCTCCCGTAGTTGTAGCTTCCCGTGTATCTAAGACGCCGGAAGCACAGTGAATATTGTGAGTCAGGGCAGGGACAGCGGATCACTTAACACCTCTAAAATCAACCTCATCTTTTTTCCATTTTTCTCCTTCTTTTTGGTTCTTACCATATCCACCCTGTTGTGGTGAGTTTAAACTCCCAGGCTATTTTCCTTCTCTCCTCGGCACACCTCTCTTACCACTCAGAGAGCGCTCAGGGAATGAAAGCCAGCCCCGAGCAAAACATAATTAGTGACAGAAACTTCTACTCCCGTTCTGTTGAAAAGCCCCATATTATAGCCTGAAGTCAAATAGGAAAGAAAGAAGAAATTACTTTGGGATTTATGTTTTGTATTGTTCAGGCCTTTGCTTGCCCATGATGGGGCAGGATGTTGTATGTAGTTGCGAGCTCTCTCTGGCGGGGAAACACCATGGGCCACTCAACCAGGTGTCAGATCCGGGTGCTTAGCCTGGCTCCACCCCTTTCTAGCTGTGGGACCCTTGCGCGACTCGCAGTCTTGTTTCTCACATCTGTAAAAACGCTGGCCCTGATTATTCTGAGGGTCAGATATGTGAAGACACTCTATAAAATAGAAAGTCCTATGAAATACAGGATATTCTTATCACTGTTCTTCTTAATAACATCTTCTCAGCAAAAACACGGACGTAAGACCACGTGGGTGTCTATTCTGCCATTGCTCCAGAATCAAAAGTTTTCCTGAAACAATTTTCAAAGTCTGTTCTAAAGGTGTGGAAAGATACTCTAAGAGGTCCCCAGAGAAAATAAAGGCTGCCCTCCCACTGGCCAGGGGCACCTGACCCTGGGGACGGAACTTGAGTACAAGCCAGCAGCCAGGCCAGCGCCCAGCCTCGGGATTGGCCCCTTGCTGCCTTATGCCGGGCCACTGTGTGGAAGACACCTGCGGGCGCCTCCTCCCGGGTCCCCCACAGCTGCTCTGCTGGAACCGCCTCCCAGGACCCCCGTGGCACAGTCTCGCCTTCTTGAGAATAAGGACCCTTTTTGACGTCGTAAGTGCTTTTCGGATGACTGCATGTTAGACATAAGATTAGTGTCTTTTGATGAAGACATCTTGCATGATGGCAAGAAGCTACTCTGATTCAGGTAACACTTCTTAATGGATTTGTAGTTAATTCATCACAGCAACAACACTACAGAGATTTGGGGGAAAATGGGCAATACCAATGATTTATTTCTTTAGGCACAATGCACCATTGGAACCCACATGGGTTCCCTGAGCCCCGTTAACAACTGTTGCTGTCCAGAGACCTTCAGCCCTCAGGTGGGGAAGACTTCCTCTAATCCAGTCACAGAAGCCCGGGGCCCACCACGAGGTTCTACCACCTGGGGAAATTGCTGGAAGGGGGTCTTCCGCTGAGGTTCTAAAGCAGAAGACAGGGAGGAACACAGGCTTTGGGGTCAGCCAGATGATCAGTCTGGGCCCTGCGTCTACCAGATGTGTGACCCCGCAGGACTGAACTTGAGCTGTTGTCTCAGTTTCCTCATCTGGGAAATGGGCCTGCTAATGCCCACCTCCAGGGCCCTGTGGGGACTACAAGAGACCATCATACACAGGGCAGCACTGAGCACGCTACAAAAGTTCTGCAAAGGACAGCACTCTTCCTACCCTTGGAGAAAACAGCTGCTAAGTGAGCCCAAATTTAAAAGTATAAGCGGCATCCCAGGCAAGTCACCTACCCGTGCTCCTCTCTGTGCGGATAAACCGGTATCCTGTGTGTGACGGAGGAAGGAGGCACATGAGTACTCCTCATACAGGGCAGCTGTTGGGAGTTTTCAGCTGGGGAACCCGCCGCCGTTGTCACCGTATAGGTCAGAGACCACGTGTATGACTGCATTGCTCCTGCAGAGACAAATTAAGATGCATAAGTCACTCACACATGGAAGCATGTCCCATTCTTAGAACACCTTAGTGGCTTCCCATGCTCTTTAAGCTGGCAGTCAAAATCTTTACAAAGCAGGTGTCTCTGTCCTGGCTGACCTCATGATAAACATCCCCTACTCCCTGCCTTTGTTCTCTCTGATCCAGCCACAGTAGCTTTCTTTCATTGTTCCCCAGAGAACCACAATTCCCAGCACCACAGGGCCTTTGCACGTGCTCTTTCTGCTGCCTGAAACCGTATTCTTCCCTTAGTACCCACTCATTCCTCATATCTCAAAAGAGAGAAGTGGTCTCCTAACCCCAGACTGAGTCAGCTCCCCTACTACACTACAGTCCTGCGTGGTGCCTCCGACAATTTGTCATCTTACACCCATTCATGAATGTGATTTACTTAATGCTTATCCCCCCCTAGACTAGAAGCTCCATGAGGTAGGGGCCTTGTCTATTTTACCCACTACTGGATCCCTGGTGCTTGGTACAGAGCCTGGTGGCCCCAAATTTTTCAATAAAAAATTTTAAAAGGAAGAAAGGGAAAGGAAAGAGGGAGGGAAGGAGAGAGGACAAAAGAAAGCTTGGAAGTGGGGCACCTGGGTGGCTCAGTCATTAAGCGTCTGCCTTCGGCTCAGGTCATGGTCCCAGGGTCCTGTGATTGAGCCCCTCATTGGTCTCCCTGCTCCACGGGAAGCCTGCTTCTCCCTCTCCCACTCCCCCTGCTTGCGTTCCCTCTCTCGCTGTGTCTCTCTCTCTCTGTCAAATAAATAAATAAAATCTTTAAAAAAAAGAAAAAAAAAAGCTTGGAGAGGCACGGCCAAGTAACTTCCCAGCATTCAACTGAACAGGTGTCAGAGAGCCAACAAACTGCTTAAAGCAGCCCTAAGTAGATTGTTGGGCTCTACCTGCCCAGGTCTTTTTGAAGATTATTAGACAGCGACCTTAACGGTGACCTATTCCATGCATATTACTAATTCCATTAATTTACTTTTTAATTGGATACCTTGAAATTGCTAGGGATTGGGAAGGGAAACAGACCATATTTAAACCCCTCAAGATGCTTAAGAATTTTATGAGATGGTTAGACTATAAAAATGGTAATTTAAGAAATCACTAAGTTATACATGCATCGATTTCTGATAAATTTTAGAACGTTGGGCGCCTGGGTGGCTCAGTCGTTAACCGTCTGTCTTCAGCTCAGGTCATGGTCCCAGGGTCCTGGGATCGAGCCCCACATTGGGCTCCCTGCTCAGCGGGAAGCCTGCTTCTCCCTCTCCCACTCCCCCTGCTTGTGTTCCCTCTCTCGTTGTCTCTCTCTCTCTGTCAAATAAATAAATAAAATCTTTAAAAATTTTTTAGAATGTTGATCTAGTGGAAATTATTAAACCCATTTTAGGAAGTGGAGGGACTAGGATCTAACACCCCCTTGCAGGCACAGGGGAAGAAGAACTGGTTATGAGAGGCCATTTTTAAGGGGAAGTAAAACTTGGTGCTTTAGTTCTGTGTTTTCTGCAGCAGATCTTTTCTATCTTAACATTCCTGGGGGAAGCTGAAAGAATGGTTTTCATTAAAAAATGCAGTCCATTCCATCCCAAAGACTTCGCAAATAGCCCGTGAGTAGCTGCACTGACGTGGAGCAGGTGAAAGACTGAACTGGTGGACCAGCACTGTGCCAATTACACGACAGGTTCTGTGCGGGATACTCTGGAAGGCATGTGAAAATGGAATCCTACTCTGAACACATTTGTTTATTATTCAAAGAACTCTGTATTGAACTCTACTGTAAACTGGAGAATCTTTTGGAATGCAAATAACGCCCTTTTTCAATGAAGGGACAGTTTCATTCCAAGAGAATGAAGGAGAAACCATTTTTTGAGCATCTAATATAGGCCAGGCACTGTGCTAAGTGCTTTACAGATACCCTTAAAATAAACATTATCCCCACTTCACAGATGAGGAAACAAAGGTTAAATCTGAAAGAATGTTAGGGAGTGGACAGGAATACAGAAGATTCAATAAAATAATGTGAATGTGGGAGTGAACAAAGAAATTAAAACTGGAGCAAAACGTGCAACCAGGAATGAGGCTAACCATGCTTACTCTAACTCTTCTTAGAGGTGGGCCTTAACTTGGGCTCAGAAATTTTCCAGGAAACAATGCCACTGGGAAACCTGACAAGTCAGTAGCCATAAGATAGTAAACAAACTGGTCAGGAGTCAACTGTCCTTGGAATTAAGATCAAACAGAATTTCTTTCAGATGCCCCCATAAAAGGCAACTGGGAACTGCTCAAGTGTCCCCCACAACACCCTTAAAATGGACTCCAGGCTTGATTCTCAGGACCGTTCCTTAGGTCTGCCCTTCAAGCTGGTGGCGGCACAATCAAGTCCAGTTCAGGGAAACTCAGAATGTTAACTTGACCGAGGTCCCTGTGGGTGGGACCAGTGGGGTTCCGAACCCCAGTCTGCCATAGGTCTTCCATTCTCTCTACCAGACTGCCTCTCCACTCTGGGTCCTAGTCCTGCTGTGTACTGGCTGGAAGATCTTGGGCAAGCCCCTTATACTTTCTTTCATCATCTATAAAACAGGCATGATAATATCTATCTTGCAGAACTGTTGTGAGCATTAATTGACATAAGCTTGGCACGTGGGAGGCTCTTGATGATATTCACATGCTCTTCACTATGAATTCAGGTATTCTTGTATCGGACTTTCTTAAAGTAGAGATTTCTCTGTGTCCCATTTCAGATGCCAGGGAAGACAGTCAGATTCTGTCACCAGGGATGAAATTTGAACAGCAACAGAAATTTAGCTAATGATGGCAAACTTCTAAATGTGTTTTTCCATAAAATCATAGGTGTTCTTATTCACCAGTATGGCTAAAAGTACCCCTTCCTGGTTTGCACATGTACATCATATACAAGGAGATAATGACTTTAGCAGGCAGTTAGGCATCATTTATAGTAACTGCAAGAAGACTGGAAAGACGAAATTCCAAAATGATCATGCCCCAGATGACTGGATTATGCATGATTGCCCCCTCTATATTTTGCACTTCATATGAAATTATATTGCTGTTATAATTTTTAAAAGTATCCTTTTTTTTTTTTTTTAAACAGGTTATCTCTAAGCGGTGGGACTGAGGAAGGCTTTAAAATATTTCTTCATTTTGCTTATCTGTATTTTTCTATAATGAATGTGCACTACCTCCGTGAAAAGAAAAACATTAAAATGTATTAAACAAATTTTACAATTGGAGACAGAATTGGAGCGGGGTGGGAAGTATGGGAGAACAATGAACCAGCCACAGCAAGCAAGTAATTAACCCTTCAAGCCCCTGGGACCTCGGCCGAGCACTGCGAGGTCAGTGGGTATGTAAAGGAGGCAGCCAAGGAAGCCAAAAGATTTTCTCTTTTTTTTCCCCCGGGAGTAGTAGGACGACATAGTGATAATAGCCATCACCTGAGAGAATGCAGTGGAAGTTACTTTTGTATGAGCTCCTGGAGCACAGCAACCGTTCCTTATTCATCTCTGTATCCCCAACAGAGTGTCTGCCAAATAGTAGGTGTTCAGTAAATTTTTGTTTCATTGAAATTGTTGTTGAAGGCGTAAATGCTGCTAGAAATAGACGTTATCAAACAAAAAGCTAGTGGAACTCTTTGAAAAATGGGCTCCTGTGGTCTGGGAAACAAAACCCCTAAATGGCCATGTGCCAGCAATCTAAGAGACCCACTCAGGCAGGCTTAAGCAGATTAACACCTACTGGCTTGGGTGAGAAACCCTTTCTGCCTGGGGACCAGAAAAGAACACCCCTTACATTCCCTTTCCTATCAGTGGGACCTCCAGTGAGAATTGCTGCTTCTTTTTTAAGGAAACTAATAAAAGAAAATGTGTGCAATTAACAGTTTGTGCTTAATTTTTAAGACCGCTCTGATGCTTTTTACTTACTGGCATAACAATAACAAACCTTCCCTATGTGCTTAATTCCCACATCTTTCTCTTATTCTTCCCTCCCTGTATGCCCACCCTTACTTAAAAGTCTGAGGATCATGGAGAAAACCCCCTGAGCTTTGAGAATTCTATAAAGATCCCCAAAGATCTAAAAATCCTACAAAGATAAGTGTTGTCCATGTTGTAGTATTAAAACTAAAACTGCAGGAGAGGAAGATTTTCTTTCTTCCCATCCCCAACTGAATGTTTTTCTTCCCTGAGTTTTTGTTATTGTCATTTTTCCTGGAGGGGGCTTGGAATATAACAGGCGGTCAGAAATAACTTGTTGAGGGGTGCCTGGGTGGCTCAGTTGTTAAGTGTCTGCCTTTGGCTCAGGTCCATGGGATCGAGCCCCGCATCAGGCTCCCTGCTCCGTGGAAAGCCTGCTTCTCCCTCTCCCACTCCCCCTGCTTGTGTTCCCTCTCTCGCTGTGTCTCTGTCAAATAAATAAAATCTTAAAAAAAAAAAAAAGAACTTGTTGAATAAATGAAGGAATGAATGATTAATCATCCAACATAAACCAGACTTCAAGCTACTTTCTTTTTATACACTAATTCACTGAATCTTGGCAATAACCTTTTTTTTTTTTAATTTTATTTATTTATTTGACAGAGAGAGAGCTAGAGAGGGAACACAAGCAGGGGGAGTGAGAGAGGGAGAAGCAGACTCCCGGCTGAGCAGGGAGCCCGATGCGGGGCTCGATCCCAGGACCCTGGGATCACGACGTGAGCTGAAGACAGACGCTTAACCACTCAGCCACTCAGGTGCCCCTTGTCAATAACCTTTTGAGGAAGGTGGTATTACCTCCTTTTTTCAAGTGAGAAAATTGTGGCCCAAGACTTGTTCAGATTTGAACCCGGATCCTGCCCAACTCCAAAGCCTTTCTACAACAACAGCGGCTTCTCACACTTGAATGTGCGTCTGAATCCCTGGAGATCTTGTTAAAAATGCAGATTCTGAGTCAATAGGTTGGGAGTTGAG